GGACTCACCTTGCCCGGATTAGGGTTAAAGGAAATCAATAGCGTTTGCCAGTCGTGCAGAAATCCCCATTTCAACTGTAGTGCGCGTAAATCCTGTGGTGTTCGAAGTTTAGGTTTAGATACCCTCTTTTCTCGGTGGTTGGGATTGTGGCGAACTCGTAATATACGCCCTGATGAATGTTTCTTCTTTTCCTTTTTTTTTTTAGTTTAATCGGTAGACCACGCAAGGCGCCTCACCTCCTTTCCCTTCAGACAACGTCAATGCGAATTATTATACGAATTCAAGGCTAATCGAATCATTGCAAGTGGGGGCGTTTTGAGGCCATACAAATTCCAACGCGATCGATCGGGATGGAATTTGTCCAGTTTCAGTCCTCATTTCGAAATCAAGTACTATCGGACGCGACTCGATCCCATTGTGTCGGATTGCATTCGCCGGTCACGAAAAACCAGTTCTCCCATGTTTTCGCGATATTTCCGTCCAGAAACCAATCCCGGATGCCCAAAGTTTCTGAAATGCCATCGGGATATAGCATCTCGTGACACGGATCCCTCGTCTGGAAACTTTTAAAGAGGGAGACGATCCGCCTTGCCTCGAGGGGATTCAGATGGAGTCAGTCAGGCTGCCTATCGCATCGCGATCTCTGCTCATGCCTTATTCTGCTATTCGGCACATCTGCTCCACATCTGCCAAGGCGGTCCACACCTTGAGAAAGTGGGTTATGTAGTTCTTGTTCTGTTTCCCGCCAATGTGCTTCGGTTGTCGTTTAGACCTGGAATTCCCCAGTTTGCCGAAGAAGAATCCGAAAATAAAATTTAAATAACTCCGCCGAAGAATGTGCTGAAACTGCTTCCCAGGATTCTTGTTTGAAAACGAACGAGAATGCTTCGGAATTACCAGTATGCAAAATCCGATTATTGTAGAATAACCGCATGCCTAAAATGTTCGCTGCGCCCTAACATCCGGCTTTTTTTTGGCTCACAAAAGGAAGTAAACTCCCAACCACACACATCTCTTATTTGGGTTGAGTGAACGGCACACATGACATCTGTACGTTTAATGCCCGCGAAACCAGAAAAGAAAACCAACATGTGATAGCCGCTGATGCGTTTTTAATGTACTCCAACGCAAAAAAAAAATCGTACGGACTATGCTGTTCCGAGAGTAGTATGAAGAATTATGAATAATGCAAGAGTGGTCATATTTTTAAGGGGGTGGGTCTTCCGTGCAATACCGAGATGAGAGCGGATATGACGTTTTTTCCAGGGGAATATGGGTCACTAGGATGGGCCAGGCTCCAGTGAACTCCCCGTGGGGGTCACTCTCAACTCGTACGTATTTCTTCCTCTCCTTTCCTTTTTTTTTCTCTCCTTCATCCATTTGCTCGCGGGGTATCGGCGGTCGAGGATGCTGGGGAGAGTGCGGAGGATCCAGACATTTATGACGAGGAATGAATATGGGTCACTAGGATGGGACCGACTCCGATGAATTCCCCCCCTCGGGGTCTCTCTCTTAACTGATCCTCATTTCTCCTCGTCGTCGTTACTTGTTCAAGGGTATCAAGGATGCTGAGGATCCAGACGTGTCTTTGGTAGAGAGAATATGGGTCACTAGGATGGGACAGACTCGAGTGAACTCCCCCCCAGGGGTCACTCTCTGTTCATCCTCGTTTCTCCTTTTCTCCCCTTCGTTCCGATAGAGCCTCGTTTAGCCCACATCCTTCCGCGCGAGACACGCTTCGCTTCCTCCGTTCCGAATTATCGGTTTACTTTTTATCCGCTTCCCATGCAGGAGACGCGGACCTCATTTATCCCGTCGCTTGACGCATAATGCGTATAGCCCAGAAAATCACGAGCTTATGAATGGAACGCCCGATTTCCACACTGGAGGAACTTCACATAATGAATGGGCATTATTTTCACCTTCGAAGAGGCGCGCATCCCGGAAGTGAGCCATGAAATTGGGTTCGTCCGCTCTGAGAAATAGTCTGGAAAAATCCCCGAAGTCTGCAGGCTGTTCGTGGATAACTGGAAATTCAGTCGGCATGCCCGAAATTTCCGAGGAGCTCTCAAGAATTCCAGTTTTCAATGAACTACTGGGGACCACCTGAGAATTTAAGCGATATGTTTCACATGGAAAATTTTCAAGGATGCCTTGCCTTTGTTTTCTCGAGTCCATCGACAAAAGCGTGTCAGTATAAGATCAGCTTACACGGAATTGAGAATGCCAAACCCATCATCTGGGAGGAGTTTATGGAAATTCCATTTCCTTATCGGTCGTGGAACTCGTGAGCTATTCATTCCGGGTCGAGGTGTCGATTCTGTTCCGTTAGTTTTCAGGATAGAAGTCGGTTTGAGCCGAGGAGACTGTTCTTAGCCGATGCTAAATCTAAATCTAACCGAAATGGTAAAAGTCTGCTCCTTGTTCTAACCTAAATGCAGTGTGAAACGTCGAAAGGAAAGGAGAAAATGTCGAGTATGAAGCATTTTCTGGAGTACGAAAACTGAAACGGCAAGAAATGGCCCCAGCATCATTCAGTTTCCGGTCACAAATTCCGGCAAATGTTTCACGCTGGGCGTTCTTTCTGGTCGCCTCAACATTTTAGACAACATTGGATCGGTCTAAATATATCCATACCTTGAGACAACATTTTTAAAGATCAGTATTAATTTCAGCTCGGGCGAGAAACCGACTTTTCTTTTTAAACTGCTCTTAGATCTAAACAAAATCAAGCTTAAAAGCATCCATTAAAAATATATATATATTTAAACCATAGAATCCTCATTGATTTTATGTTCCATGAATTCATGAGTAATTTTGAATTTTAACGGAAGAGTATTCTGTAATGAATGGCTATAATGCTCGAGCTGTAATACCAATAAAGTCACAAGTTCTTGTTTTGATTCGACTTTCTGTTGTCAGAAGGTACATAGGTAAGTTTCTATTGGCTTCTGAAATCAAAACTTTTTTTTTATATGACGGGTCTGATTGACTCATGATGAGGATTCTTGAGGGTTTTATGGAAAATTCTAACGTTAATGTAAAGTATTTTTACTATTCATCTTTTATTGATCGACCCATCGGGATCAGGCCAATTTAATCAAAGGTACAGTTTAATTATATTTACTTGGATAAGCTTTTATTATTATCCAATTAAATGTCATTAACCTATCGTCTATCGAATAGGCCTGATCCCGACGGGTAGAATGCCCTTTAATTTCAAAAGAGGAAAAGTCTGGACTGAAAAAGTATTCCCGGGATCGGACGGGCGGAATAGAGAGCCTAATTCTCCGTTCTCGTCCCATAAATGCCGCGATCCAGAACCAATATAAATGGGGTGTGACTGAAAGTGGTGCATGACATAATTCACACGTTATTTCGCATCTCACTTGGCTCGGTTCGTGTTTGCAACAAATTCGTCTACCAGGCGACGATCCGTGAAAATGGCATGGAAGGCAATATTCCAGCTAGAATAATGAGCAGTGACTTGCACGTCTGCAGACCTCAACCAATCTCAGACTCACAATAGGCTCGTCGCATTCTTCTCCGCGAGTGAGGATTTTAACTGTAAATAAATAATTGAGTGTGTGAAATCAGTGAATAGTGTCGAAAGACGCTACATAATATCCTTTATGACGATTATTGAGCGAGATTAGTTTTTCATTTTTAAAAATGTGCGTCTAGAGTAGAGACTTCTACTCCTCGCCCGAAGCGTCCCACCGAAGTCGTGGCTTCGAGGGAAACGATGAAAGAGTTACGAAGTCCTTGCATTGTTGCATCGTAGGATGACGTCGTATCTGATTGCAGGTCTTCGGGAGCAGCGACGGAGACGGACGAAATGGATCGAGAAGGAGACCTGAGCGAGGACGACAACAACTACGACGACGTGGAGAACGGCGACGACATGGACAGCCACGACATGGCGTACGAGCCGAAGGACTTCTCCTGCAAGGACACGTCCAGCAACGACTCGGGGGTCCCCATCTTCAAGTGCGACCTCTGCGAGTACGAGTCCTACAGCCAGGGGATGCTCCAGACGCATCTGAAATGCCACGAGAACGATCCGCGGAAACCCTTCCAGTGCGATATCTGCAACATGAAATTCTCCAACGGTGCCAACATGCGGCGTCATCGCGTGCGGCACACCGGCGTGAAGCCGTACGCCTGCAAGATCTGCCAGAAGCGGTTCTTTCGGAAGGATCATCTGGCCGAACACATGACGACGCACAACAAAAAAGTTCCTTTCCACTGCCCCATCTGCAACAAGGGATTCCAGCGTCAGATCGCGATGAGAGCGCATTTCCAGAACGAGCACGTGGGGCACCAGGACGGACAGAAGTCCTGTGGTCTCTGTGGATATTCCGCCTCTTCGTTGAAGGGCTTGGGAGTCCACATGGCCAAACGCCACGGGATCGATCTGGACAATCCGATTCCGTCCGCTCATTCCGAATCCGCCTTGCTTCAATCTCTGCAACAGTACCCGCGATCCTTGATCGAGAGCCAGAGCATGGGATTGGTCCCGTCGCACTTCCTCGCTCCCCAGGTCGAGATCTCGGTGGAGAATTCCCCCAAAGACGGGAACATGGACGATGACGGGGAGGATTCCAGGAACGCCGAGGATTCCTCGCCCCAGCAAGGAGGGAATTCCCCCCACTCGGACTCGAATTCCTCGAATGCGCCGACGAGCACGAACAACGAAAAGGTGGTGGTGGACTCGGACATCCAGCCGGACATCTCGCTCATTCCCATCAAACAGGAGGGCGAGAAGTCCGGCTCGTCCGAGACGGAGGGGGAGAATAATTCCGGGGACAAGGACGACAAGGGGGACGAGGAGCGGAGTCGGTCGTCCACGCCCGACCACCACGATCACGACGATCACGATGCTCATCGCGACTCACGCCACGACGGTCAACAGATGCATTCCAAGGGTCACAATCCCAACGTCTCCCTCATCAAGGTGTCCCCCTTGAAGACTCTGCTGAGGGAAGACCCTCGCCCGCTCCTGCACCATGCTCGCATCCCGCCCAGCTTCCAGTCGTCCCAGCTGGGCTATCACAAGTTGAGGCATCAGTGTTTCTATTGTGGGATCATCTTCCCGGATCAGACTCTCTATTTCCTCCACAAGGGATTCCATTCCGAGAATAATCCCTGGAAGTGTAACATTTGCGGAGAGCAGTCCTCCAACATCTACGAGTTCAACTCCCATCTTCTCAGCAAAGCTCATCAGTGATGCAGAAATCATTCCGCCCTCATGTGATAGAACGAAGAAAAGAAAATTCTCCTTATACGAGACGTTCCAGTTCGTCAGTTAGCAAAGTGGTTGCTCAATGTGCATTTATTATTTTTTGCGTGCGTCAATTCCGTTTTCGAGAGTTGGATTCCGTACCTGATATGGCAGGACCTTCTTATGTGAATATTTTGTATCCATTCGTTACAAGTCCTCGTTGGGGAAGTAAATAAAATAAAAAAGCTGTTCAAATTACGAGAAGTGGTAAATGAAAAAAAGGATAATGAGAGAAGTTGAGGAAATGAGGGGGAAGAAATGTGGGATAATTTTTTTTCCCTCACAGTTTTTACCCCCTGTTATTTCTGGATGGTTCATGACGCAGCCCAGGGAAGAAAGTAGGTGAGCAATAAATAAGAGAGAGAGAGAGAGAGAGATCTGCTGGATGTAGAGAGATGGTCTAGCCTGCATGTGGATGCTATTCCTGCCCTGGGCCCCGGGGGCATGGATGTCCCACTTGGGCACCCCATTCCCAAGGAAGAGAGCATCTTTCTACGGATGCCCCGAGGGGTAGATGGAGGAGAAACCCAAGCACCTGCTCCTCCTTCCATCCCCCATCCCGTCTTTTCTCTAGCCCGAGGAGGGCTTTTGTCCCCCATCTCAGCCTAGATTTTTCGGGAGCTCCACTTTTTTTTTTCCTTGGAACTCGTCGCTGCCAGGCTAGTCGTACTTGGCCCCAAAAGGAGCCGAAGAGACCGAGATGCGCTCCTGCCCTCAATCCCTGGATTCCTTCCTTTCCACTCATTATCGTCGCCTATCTCCCGTGCCAATCTTTCCGTGACCGGAGTCCCCTTTTTACCAGCCAGAGAAAGGAGATAGGGAGAAAAAACGTTTTTTTTTTGTCTTCCTTTTTCTCAAATCGTCACGGAGATACGTAACCGGGATCCTCCCACCCATCCTATCATCGACGCTGTTGACCAATTATTTCGATTAAAGGTCCTGTTTTAAGTCAGTCCCGTTCCAACGACCGAGTAAAAGTCAAGAATTATTTTCATATCCAATACTGGAGTCGTGAGTGAACTTCGAAGATTCGAAGAAGGCAGACGACAGATGTTAGGGACGAGCACTGAAGGGAAACGTGATTGGGGCTCCAACGAAAAGCGTCAACCGAATACATATCACGAAACGTCGATGTAGTCCCTGAATCCCTCGTTTCCCTACATGGACCTCAGGCAACGTTGGCCCCTCGAGGGGGGAACATCCCTATATATACCGTATTATACTACTCGGCGAGAGGGTATAAAGGTTGAAAGTATCGCTTCATGGATCCTAATATGGCCTGTCATTTTATGGGACTCCGATTGTATGCAAATATGCCTGAGTTGCGATGGAAGCAAATTGTCTTCTGCGACATGCAGGATCAGTGTTTAAGTGGATGGTACAAATAAATATGGAGACGAAAGGCAGAGATAGGTAAAAAAAAAAAAAGTCCTGTGGTTCTTGATATGCAAACGATGTTCACAAACCCCAAAAATCCAAAGTATGTGTCACCCCCTTCCCCGAAAAGAATTCCAGGCTACGCCGCTGGATGACCATATCTCTTCGACCTCACTCGTTAGAGCCCGACATAACTGTTTTTAAATTGTAGCACTCCTTCCGTGGAGTGCGAGAGGAAGAACGGTCTTATCGAAAGCTCCATGACAACCTTGGACCTTTAAACTATGATCCCCAAGGACGGGGGCTCATTACTAGGTGCTCGTGGACGCCCTGACGCCTAGGAGCTATAAGCATTCCATGAGATACGTCTCGTGATCGACACGAAAGGTTTTGGCTGTCATGAACCGTTTATTCTCATTCCCTGCAAGCTCCAAAGCCAAGTAATGCCTGAGATGATGGCATTCGGGCGAAGGAAACTGTATGCATTCGGGGAACTCAGTTTGTGACATGGGTGCATGTGGCTCCATTCACCCCGTGACGGTCTCGACAATGGATTTGGAAATGGCAGGTGACTCGGATGTGTTTTTCCTCCCCGGCATACAGTTCCCTCGGCCCGATCATAACAGCGTGAAATTTTCATTCCAGTGAACTGCATTTTATTTTCGTTTCTCCCGAAACGAAAGCGCATCCGTGAAAGTCCCTAGCCGAACGGGAACGATCGGTCACGACCGACTGCACCGAGTTTGCCAGGAAATACTCGATTTCGCAAAATTTCACTGTCGCCGTCCCGCTGCTCGATGATACGGCTCCGGATGACCTGGATAGGAATGGCATGCAGCCGTCGCAGCGTCCCCATGGGGTCCGTGGACGGCGGAGCAGCCGCATCGTCTGCTCCCCGGTCTTTTCCTTCGCTCATCAGCGCGGTGGGGCCGGGGCATCCAGAGGCTCGCTTTTCCGTCTGATGGTCACTGGGATAATCCCTCTCGCTGTTTCAAATGAGAGAATTGGTTTATAGTGCAAAGGCGGTTCTTTATTTGGGTGGATGCGTGAACTTCTGCACGAACTGCATGAACACGATGCTTCGATGATCAAACGCCTCGATTTTTAAGCCGCAATACATTTTTGCATGAGTCTTCTTTTCTCGCGGGCCCTTTGATGCCACCAGAATAGAAGACTGGAGATGGGGTCTATCTCACGAAATTTCTTTCGTGAGATAGGCGAAATTCCATAGGTCTCTTCCTCTCTCTCAGATAGAGAATGGGTTTCATCGCATTTCTCCATATTCCCAAAACGAAACACTTTTTCTATATTGCATACGGATGCAGTATTCCTCGTTCTGCGACATTATGTAGCCCGATTGTGGGCCCATGGAGCCCTAGAGGAGCCTATTGGGAACCGAATGGCATTGGGCTCTTGGATAGCCTCTAAAAAAGCGAACAGCTAGGATGGCCCGCACTACGAGCTTTCCTAATGCTCTATAAAAAGCCCAGTAGATGGATGGCCTCGTAATGCCCAAGCGTCATCTGTTCAAAATCTACCATCTTGGAGATGGTTGTCAGATGAGCTGCATTTCTATTGACTTCTTTTGTAGTTAATATAATTAAGAGTGGTTATCACTATATTTTAAGTATTAATATCGATAATGATTTTGTTAATTAGCTGGAAAGTGTCATTAAAAAGATTTCCCCCTTTATTAAAAATAAAAATTGCTGCGTCACAAATGCGACCCCGCAGGCATTACGAAGATATCATAGAAAAAAACTGTTGTTTTTGTTGTTGTTTAAGACGTGACATGCGGGAAGCACATACGACACCGGACGCATCCGACAGAACGAGGATGCCCGGCATGGGACGGGCACCACACCCGATCGCGGTCCCCAGGGCAGGAAAGCCCCGAACGTGGTCCTGTGGGAGGGCTCAGGGGTCACGGGTTGCCGAGACCCATGACTGGCACGAACGATGTTCGAGGTGCACTAGACCCGTATCTCCCAGATGTGGCACACGGAGGGGCGCGCATGTAACCTCCACGCCGGGCAGGTACTCCCCAGGGCGCGGGCGGGTGAAGGAGCCTGCTGCATCCCAGATTCCGGTCCCGCTCGTTCCGGGTTGGAGTCGGAAGCCGCCAAACCTTTTTTTTTTTTAAGCTGAATTTACTTTCTCTTGGATGTTTTGAGACGTAGTCATGCTTGAGATACAGGGGAACACAGGGCAAGTTCCACTACCTTCGGAACGGCTGGAAACAGATTCTTGTCATGTGCATCGACGCTCATCAGTTCCATTTTTTTATATAAAAAAAATTCAATTCATCGTTTAAATGCAAGATATTTCTCGTGTTTGGAAGAAGGTTTTCAATACCAGAGTATCAAAGGATACTTCTTTTTTTTTTTATCCTTCTATACCCTCCAATTGTGGCTTATTTTATTTCACCTCATTTTAGGTCAAGAACGTGCAAAAATTAATAAAGGAAGTTTCACTGAATCCCATGAATCTTCGAAACATTCCGAAACTCGAGTTTCACACGCGAGCAGAAACACCTGCGACCCTCGATAGCACGAAGCGCGATTTGCACGCCCATCTCATCCACGCTGCGCCAAATTCCCATTCATCGACGAGGCCATCGAAGTCCCCCACCTGCCCACGAAACGCCAGTCGACTGCTAACGGAGAAAAAATTCCGGAGACGGAAAAACGAATAGTGGGACACCGTCCACGGGCTTTTGGTCCGCTTGGAACGGGTCTACGTGACCTCTATACCCATCCGTCCCACTTCTCCTTTTTTCATATCCCATATATCATATCTCGAGATCATTTCAACTGATATTTTCCCATTGGTTGTATATAACTGAATTTTTTTTTAAATCAGGAGACGCCCTACTGAGGCAAAGTCTATGTAACATTAGATGAGCATCTTCCCGTAAAAAGGTTACCCTCATGATTTCGTGAGGAAATCCTGGTGTGAAGTTCCCCATCGGTTTGGCCAGGCGAAGGATGGTTTTCCGCCACGGAGGGAATTAACCACGACTAAGAACTGTGAATGAGATAACGTACTTGGGTAAAGGTGCAAGTTCAAGGATCAAACTTCCAAGAATTGATGTAGACGTTTTAATACTCAGTTCATGAGGAGACCGCGCAGTTACATCGAACGGAGACACTGAATTTAGCAGCAAACTTCATCGTTGAAAATCATGAACAACTCTAATTGGTCTCAGCCTACACTCGAACACACACACTTATAGGCGCGATCAATATTATTTGCTCATATGTGATTAACATATGAGCATGTTATTTTACCTATAATTCTTTAATGAGCCACTTGCTCTCAAGCGGAGGATCCATCCTGACATTTTCTACGCATATGTAATTATAACAACCAATTAGTTGCCTGATTACGGTTGACATTGTTTTAAAAAAAATTGAAATTAGAGATTGATTTGCATATTGGGCGATATTACGAATGTTTTTGGACAAAAAAAATAAATTGGCAATATCGAAAATATGAAAGCATTATTAGCGACGAAAGGATTAAATTGGATGATGACCACCTGGCTGGACGGGAAGCGGCGCGTCATGCTGACTGGCCATGACAGCCAATCAGCGGGCATCTTTCCCATGAGCGGTCGTAAAAAAGTGAAGGGGTCTCGAGACCTTACGAACTGGCGGGCGACTTATGTGAGTCTGTGACTCGCTCGTAGACCCTCATCATGCGAGCTCCTAGCTCACATTTGGGCAAATTCGATCGTCCCTTAGACGGCCGATTCTCTGGAGCTGCAACTAATCGTGTGAACCTCCATCGATTCACCTGAGCTCTCTCTCTATCTAGCTCCGGGGCATAAGAACGATGAAAAATATTATTATGGATCACGAAATACACGTTCAGGGGGAAAAACACGAGTTCCCTGAGCACACTAGCATGGTTGTATACGGTACTGATGGATCTATGCTTTTCGTACCACCTATAGAACAGGAGTATCACTGAAGCTTGCCAAGCGAAGGCTAGGTGTCCCTAGTAGTCCCTAATTATACGAAAAGCCCTAGATATCTGCAAAAATCATGCCTTTTTAAAAATTATTTTCATGTTCAAACATACAGCATAAGCTAAAGTAGTGGAACTCAAAACTTTTTGAGCCGGGGGCCGCATCCGGATATGACGAACCGCAAAAGCGGTTCCTTTCTGAGAAACGGTTCACCAATGTTACTAAGAAATTCCACTCAGTTGGAAAATACGTATCGTTTTCGCGGACCACTTGTACCACTAGGCTCCAGTATGGGCTGACGCCAAACTAGTCTATCACGCCTAAGAATGATTGAAAATTCAGGATACTTTGCAATCGCGACTAATGTTTGATTTTCGGAGTTAATTATTCAAAACAATCCTGACCGTTCGGTAAAGGGTGGAGTACAAAGTGCCCTGCAGACAACTGCAATGACAACGTCCTTGCAGTCGCACGACGTGGGCATATGCACCAGTGGTACCATGTAGCAGATCCTGCTAAAGCTTCATCCCAACGGGCAAGCAAAAATAAATAAATACATCAGAAGGTTTATTCACAAATTCACCATGCATAAAAACCAAGCACCATAGGAACATTCATGGCAATGGACCAAGCATTTCATACCATCACAAATGCCAAATATGAATATAGTCAATTATTCAAGCAACAGAAGAAAAAATGTGGCATACAATTGAGTATGCCTTACTGGAGTAAAAGCTTCCAGTCGAACCCATAATTAGCTGAATTTGTAAATGGAGGAAACGGTGGCTCAACAACACGCCACTTTTTCCCTTCTCCACTTTCTGCAGTATACTCTTCAGCTACTGCCACACCGCAGTATGGAACCTGAAGACTGACACAATGGAATCCATTCCTTGGTGCATGGCCCACCAACAGCCTTGTGCATGTCTCCAATGTTGCTGCATGAGCAACAAACAAAATGTTCCCTCCTGAAATGAAAGAAAAGCTGCATGAGTCTGATTGTCTGACGTCTCTTGATGCCAATTAACAAAGAGAGCTTCTTAAACCAGGTAATGTAAAATTGTGGTATAATGAGTATTTATATTTGATTTAGTTTCCTCTCAAATTCAAGAGTTGAGAAAATATTTAAATACATACCTAGTCAAGCCTGCTCAACATCCCGCCTTCATAGAATATGATGAAAGGCGTCTCGATCTATTTAAAAGGTTTAGGAAATTTTCGCTGCCTTTACCCCAATCATAATTTTTTAAAGCTGAACCTTCTGACCTTCCCACTTGGGAAAAATCTGCAATATCTTAGACAGGACTCTCCATCTGTTTGCATACACTTCTTTATAGCTATGATCTTCAGCATGGAGAGGAAGGAAAGCGTTCCTTAACACACATTGAAAAATTAAAAGTTTCTTGACTTGAAAAAGTCTGTTTCCTCTCTAAGAGCCTACATAGTCAAGGTCTCAGAACCCCTCTCCTGCTTTTGTGCAGCCATCGTTATCCAAACGACTTCCATCCCCCAGCAAGCAGGTCCGCTAATCACGACAGGCTCCTCTCTCTATGCAGGACGGACCTGCTGAAGTTACATAATCACTCTCCTCTTTGCTTTTCCCAAACATGCATGCCATTATGGACAAGCAAAGAGGCTGATGATGTTTTTTCTAGACAGCTGGCACCTGCATATCCTGTTTAGCTCCATGAGGTACCTCATAGGTATCCTAAAACCTACGCTCTTAGCTTCATAAATGAGAGGGCCTAATATCACATCAAAAGTGGGTCGAACGAACAAACGCCCCTAACTAATATCACCCTTCAGAACTTCAAGATGAGGTCTCACCTCTTCTCTTTTGGCTGCCATTACTTTCCTACTTAGCGAGTAAGCAGGAAAAATAAACATCGGAGGAACCGCAGTCCACCCGACTGGGACAATAGGACATCTTTCCATTGCCTTACACTAGCTTTGCACGTGACTTGCTCTCTGCCACGCAGGAGGGTTCCACTGGGACTGGCGAGAATCCGGCCCCCCACCACACAAAAAAAACACACACACACAAAACAGGCGAATTATGCATGTACTAAAACATCAAGGCTGTTGCCCATACATCCTACTAAGGGCAAGGAGAGGTTCTCTGTTCTGTGATAAGTTGGCAAGGGACAAGGTGATGGCAAGGTTCCAGAAAAAATCCCAATAGATTGAGAAACTTGTAGGATGACTAGATTCTCAACATGATAACAATGGTACAGAATGCAGCGCAGGGACGGACTGAGACTAAAAATCAGCCCTGGCATTTTTACTCACACCGGCCCTCATCGAGGCTGCGGCTTATAGGCCAAAATTCATTCCTGAAACGAATTACTAGACAGTAATTAGTGCTCCCTCATTACTGGTGCAGCTGGGGGGAGGTTCCTCGACTCTCGATAGCAAGGCGCTGAGGAATCGCACTGCGGGGGATGGCGACGCTATTCAAAATGTGTGTAGCTGGTTCCGTTCGATCCCCCCCCCCCCCCCAAGAAAAAAAATTCTAGTAGCGGCTCCAGAATGACAGGTCAAAAGGTCATTTAAATTCTCGTACACCGACCTAGGATGTATGAGTATATTATAATTTATGGCAGGGGGGGAGGAAGAGACATTCGTGGAAGGACAAGGTTGTCATATAGTCAGAACTTGCAATTTCCTCATGATTGCAATGCACCAATTAAGGGAGAACGTAAGGAGGAATGATCGTGAGGCATCGCAAGCAGGAATGCATGGAAACGATGTTGTGCCACGAGTCAGACAAGGAAGAGATACACGGCTTCTAAAAAAAACAAGTGTGGGGGGGGTGTCACTTGAGCTCGACTTTATTCTTCCTCTGTCGGCTCTCTTCTCCGACCATCATTCATCAGTTCCTTATTTAAGCACCCGGAGACTTTTTTATTTTTAAAGCAGGGAATGAATCATGCTACGCAAAACTAGCAACAGCCCCAGGCCGGGATAATGCGGATATTTCACTGAAAATGTAGGTAGGCCTACAAGAAACATACTTCATGTTCGCTCTTACATTTTCGGGGACCTTCTTCTGGCATTTGCCAGAGCTGTCAGATGGCCAGTCCCGCCCCTGGTGCAGCGTGACCATACTCAAATAAACTGATCATTTGGAATTGAAGCAAATTAAAGAAAGTGATCAGCTCTCCACTCACCTTCTGTCTCAGTTGCTTTGACAACTTTCTCAGAGATGAAGGCGTTGCGGATGTAGAACTGCTCAATAGTTTCATTTTTGTCATAGAGTTCTGAGGCAACAACGAGAGGTGCATATGAAAGATCGATATTGAACCCCAAGTCATGAAACTGCGCAGGAGTGAACCAAGTAGGCATTCCATCCTGATATCCAGCCAAATATTCAAAGAGGCCAGGTTCAATCTTGATCATCAATGACTGCAGTCCCATACCTGTATGCATTAAGAACCTCCATCATTGACTTTCCTCATTCAGTAGTTAGCAGTCTACATATTTGGTTCAAAAACTTGTTCTTTCAAAGGAAAAGAAAGTAATCTAACACATCTCTAATGGGAACTAATTGGGATGTGAAAAATAGGGATTGTAATCATTCTTAATAGCCCTAGAGGCACGTTTTTTTGAAGGCAAAAGGATGACGATTCCATTGCTGTAATTCCCTTCCAGAGACTGTTTTTTTTAGTCAATTAGTCAATAGTCTTTTTTTAGTCAATAGATGCTTCCTGACCAGTAGACCATCAGTAGAGCAAGAGCTTGTCAAGTGGTGATTAGGAATGAAATTGAGAGCACCTTTAGTACCTCCAGGGGTGTTTCATCTCCTATGCACATATAGCAAGAAGGTAATCACCCAAGTGATACTATAGGGAAGGCCAAAAAAGGAAACTAATTTCACATTAATATCATTGGGGATCATAATATCATTCATCACCATGAGGATGAGTCCACATTTCAGAGTACTTACAACAAAAAATTTGCTCAATTTGAGTCCCCATGGTTGTCTACTCCAGTTTGCTAAAGTCTGCTAATCATTGCCAACTTATTTTCATGACAAACTGGAGAAAGAAGGTTACCCATTTGTGATGTTTGGTAACCATAAGATGTTTGTTTGTGGTCCCTGATCTTGCTATACCAATAGAATTTTGTAATTCCACCCAGACAGCATAACCTACTGGGTTGAAATCAGGACTATGTGACAGTAAAACATTCAGCTTGATGAAGTATGATCTCCTCTCATTGAATAACTGTACATGGTGCACCCTCCCACAGACATATAGCAACTACGCAATTCCTCAAAGAGAGGATAATGGACTTCATTTTAACAAACCTTTTACCTTTTACCAACGGATTTTAAAATACTCAGTAAATGCAGGGCCTAATACATTTTTCTGCAGTTAAAGCACATTGTTGTTGAACACAAGAAAAAATTGTATGTATTCATTACTATTTGCAATAGAGGCATGAAAGAAAAAGTATTTTGCAAAAGAAACACTGGTGAATATGGGGATATGGTATTATTAGTTGAACTAGGAATACTTTTCCTACCTCAAAAATGGGGATGGTTCATGGTTAATTTTATAGATTATGCTGTCTTGGTGGAATTGTAAAAATAAGTGTTTATTGGGATCACAGGATCAGGGAATTTGAGCATCTCAAGGCTATATGCTACAAAGTTGGAAAACATCACTATCTAGTTTTACAGTCAAAAGAACTGGGTGAGCATTCCTTTTTGATTACCTCTCCAGAGGATGCCATTTACCTTCATTTATCATATGCTATTGAAGCCGTTGAAAACAAATTGTGAGGAGGGTATATGAATTCCATTTGTATCTCACCTTCTGACTATCCAACTTCTACCATGCCTTCACTTGTCTCATTGTTTTCAAATGGATTTCAACTTTCCTTGTTGCCAGTCCATTTGATCATCGACTGGTTGCAGCATAAAGCTTCTTGAAAGTATTCTACAAAGGCTCACCTTTCAAGATAGAATCACATGTTTGAATGCAGCGGTATGAAGGGGAACAGTAGACATGATGAACAAGAATATCCATTTTATGCATCATTTCTCCCAGAGATCTTGCCTGCAAATGTCCAAGTTGGGTCAGGGGTCCATCCCTATAGTATGCACCACAACCTCCTTCACGCATTGGTAGAAGACATGGCATGTTGCGGTCCTTACGATTGTATTTCCCTGCAAAATATTCATTCATCAGCATTTTTATATGACCCCTTCAATAACCTTTCATCAATTTGAAAAGGGCCTCATAACTGAAGAAAGCATCCTGTTCCAAAAAAAAAACATCATGCAGTAAAAACTAAGCATAATAGGGGAGTCTTAAGTTGTCCCTTCTTTGATAATTTTGGAACTTTCTCTCACCAGAGTCTTCAAAGACATCAAGGATCCAAGAGTCAAATGTGTTTTCCATTCTTTCTCCATGTCGTACTATTATCAACTTCCTGGAGCCTTTGACACTACTAGGATCTGCTTCTTTTTCCACTTTGTGAATCTGCACATGAAATGGGGAGGAGTCCATAACTCTATGGATTTTCAAAAGAAGTCATCTGCCTCCTGGGCAGTTGACCTAAAGTGTCAATATATAAGTACAAACAGTTTTTATTTTTCCATCCATACAAACTTACTTCCATCAATCCACCTTTCTTTCAATGAGACAACAGAGTCTGCAATTCAGCATGCTATTATCAAAAGCATATTATTGAAAACTTTTATACATCTTCCATGCCAGGTGGCTTCCACCAAGGCCCTCAACAGTCTTGGAATAGAAATGCAGCATATAATAATTTTTGACAAATAAATAAATCAATATCAATCTAGTGCTCCTCATTTTCCCAGTTGCTAGTTTCTGATTGAAATTACTGGGAAGGGAGCTTCTTGTACTCATAATCCTTTAGATGGCTCAAGCCTAATGAATCAAGCAACTTGTTTGTGACAATTTGAAGTTGGGAAGAAGTCTCCTGCAATGCCCCTCTTCTCTGAGGGTTGCCACCACCGACACTCCTAGGAAGGGTTGCATCCTCCTCTGTCACTTCATTATAAGCTCCTTGCTTGTGCAACTTTCTGCTACTCTCCCTACATCGCCTATTCTCACTGGCCTTTCTATCATAAGTTGACTGGCCTCTCTTTTGAATCAATTTCACTTCAATTGATACCCCTTCAGAGTCACATCCACATAGACTACATTTCAAGCACAGATGACACCTTGCAACCTAGTGCGTGCATGATATAATGGATGGATTTGCATCCAGAGACATTGTTCTCCTGCTCTGTCATGAAAAATCCAAGAACGTCCATTCGGGGCGAAAAGTAAAAAATATTTTTTAGCTATATTTTTTTAGGCCACTTGTGTAATTTGGGAGGAGCAGCTCCTCTAATTTTCCCCCATGTATGTTGAAACATACTGGTCTTTAGATGAACTATATTGCTCGATAGGTTCAGGATAGCACAGAGAATTCACTGGTATCTTCCAAATTACAACATTCTCATTACTGGATTAGGTTGATTGGGTTTGACTCGACCAAAATTTTCTAGTTGATTTGTGGATTGCATGTAAAAAAAAAAGGGATTCAGAAGACTCTCATAAAATATGCAATTTCAGGAATCATTCATAGCTACTAAAAGCAAGCATTTGGAAGAAATGAGAAATTTTTTATTTAGCACTATTGAGTTTTTTTTCCTGTGAATGGGGTTTAATCTGCAAGAATAACAAGTAAAAACCAAAATTTTTCCAAGATGCCTCTTAGCTCAGCAGAATTTTGCTATTCAGTGCAAGGGTGCTCACTGGAGATCAAACATGCAAGCACAGGGGTATTTCTTGCAAGGGAAATTCCCACCCAGTGCCCACTATGGAAAAATGCATGGAAGAGTGTGAAGATCAAGAAATGTTAATCATCTACTGAAATTCTCCATACTCCAAATTTCCCTCTCAATAGATTTTGGTATTACAGGGGGTGGTACTGCACTGTACATGGCTCCCTACCAGCAGATCAATTCTGGAATGTCATATCAACAATACTGTAGGGGCTGGTATCTATATACATTCATGAACTGAGAACTTCTTTGGCCTAGTAACATGTATCATGAAAGATGTTGAGTCAATAATAGTTTGCTTCTAAAACAGCATGAAGCCTGAGTTGCTAAAAGTTGCCCATAAGCATAAGAGTTATATGCCCATAAGAGTTGCAATTATCCAATACACCTCCAGCAGAACATAGAAAAATAAAAAACAATGACTAAATGGCAGTAGACACAACAGCCATTTCAAGGAAGCACCTTTCCACTCAAGGCAGTAAGTGCAACACATACTTTAAAAATTTTAAACCCCTCAACCTGGAGCAGCTGCACAGTACATCTGATCCTCAAAACTATGAAACAACAAAACAATAGAGCTCTAGTGATGTTCTGGCAACATTCACAAGCAACCAAGTTTACTTGTTATAACTTCACAACATTTATGAAAAGAAAAAACTAATTTAGCCTCATTTAGCGCCACATTCTTATAATTGAAACTCTTCTGCTGCTTTATTTCATAATTGTTTTGTTCCATTCCCCAATCTTGTATATAATCCTATCAGGTCTTTCTTCACAGATATTTCTTCCAGCCACTTATGAAATGGACTCAAAGTTTCACCAGGAAAAGAGTGAATAATACACCATTTAAAAAAAAATTGAGCACAAGCCCCATTTTCTCTTGTGGATATAATCCTTTATTTTCATTTCATTGCTCATGATTCTGTGCTGCAATCATGGCAATCCCATATAACTGGAAAGCTTTCTTGGTCTTGGATTCTGTAACCTTGGCATGAAACTTGATGGCACTGCAGCAAGCTGATGAACGTAAAAAAGAGTGATCCAGCCTGCTTGCCACCTCACAAGTAATAAATTTTTCTTGAATGGTATTGAATGGGACTGAAATGAGATGATAATGACTATTTTTCTCATCAGTGGACACACAATCGGATTTGAAGTAACCAGACCAATGCAGACCTTTTCCACAACATTGTCATTGCCAGTGGTGGCCAGTTTCCTGAAATCTTCCTGCTTGGGGTGAGACACATTGGGCTGCTCTGAGAACAGCCTTATGTGATGACCATGTTCTATCGAGAGCCTCTGTTGCACTTCAATGAATGGACGTCTTCCCACACCTACATCCTCAAGGAGGAGGAGGTCATGTGACTGGGGCAAGGCGATGGACCTGGAGATGAAATTCAGCCTATAGTATTGAGAAAAGGATTTCCATTGAGCAACTGATAAAATGAAAACAATTACTTGTGCAATGTCCAAGCATCAGTCTGAGGTGTCCGTTTCACACGATTCAAAGGCAGGAATCCTGAACATCCTGCAAAACAGTCCATCCAACTGTTTGTTTCAAGCTTTCATTTAGAGGAGATTGAGAAAGACATGGGTTAGGCACTTAGGGTTGTCATTTCCATTAAATTAACCACTGGATATCAGAATTTTGTTTCCAAAAAACACAAATAAGTGAATTTGTCTTTGGATGTGAAGGAACAATTCATCCAAGAATGTTTTCAGGGCAATTTATAATGCAAAGGGTAAGCTTGAATAATTTTTAAAATCTCCCAATGTATCCTTTCTATTAGGATGATGAACTTTAGGTTCGTCACCTTAACAGGTTATCACCTTAGTTCTAAATGGTGAATAGTAAATTGATTTATGAAACAGTAAATTCCCTTACACTGGCAGTATGAAGTCATTATAAAAATTGCCACTGATGTAGCATCTTATGTCACTACATGCAGAGATTACCATTACATCAGTGCACTGCAAACAGGACCAGATTAAGGGGAGCAAAGGGGCTGTAGCCCTGTGCCCAACTCTTCCAGGGGACCCCCGAAGGAAACTTAAAATGTTAAGTATTTGCATAAAGTAGCAGATGTTACAAATCAAAATTTGCACCACCGGTACTCAACTGTGTGGCTACACTAGGCTACTTGCACCACCAGGTAAAATGTCTTGGGCGGGGGGGGGGGGGGGGGGGGGCCCAAGAATCCACTTGCCTGGGCCTTGCAACTTCCTTGCAAATTCTTAATCCAGCTCTGGCTGCAAGAGACATATTTGAAATTTTGAAGATCCCTAAATGAGTGAACATCTATCTGTTAAGCCAAGTAAAGCTTTCCATCTTTTAACACCTCAAATAATGCAATTTAGAATTTTAAATAAGGACCAGTAGGACTCTATCCTCTTAGCTGCTAAAGACCTGCTAGGAGATGAACTCCTTAAAGGCTAGAAAATTCATCACAACATTTGCCTCAATTTTAATAGTCATTCAGCAGACCCTTTGGCAGCACATAAAAAAAAATTAATAGAAGCTATCTTTACTCGACAAATTAGATGAAATTTTGCCAGTCACTGTCAGACATCTGTCTTCACATGACAAGAGTAAAAAAAGGTGCATTGCCACTGGAAGTGCCTCAGGGTTAGAACTTTTTGATCACCCCACGTATATAATAGCTGGTCTCCTTGTCTATCCAGAATCTAGAAGTATGACCTTGTTTGTTGTATTGTATGCCAGCAATCAGCCTCATGACTTCCGGTGACAAAAAAAAAACAAATGAGTTTTGCCCAATATTGGCTACAAGAAGCACTAGGAAGCTTGTGGTAAATTACTAATGAATAACCCTAATCCCAATAGGTACTGAAGCAATGCTAAGACCATCTTCAAGGCTTCAGAGGAAGATGAACGTGGTGGTGGGGTTGCAACACTCCGACATACTTCATCCGAGATGGCATGAAGAAAGCAGTGGTCCGATAGCAAAAGTGCAATGCCGTTGAAAGTGACTTTGTGGAAGATTGAAACACACTGGTGCAGGTTTTGGTGCAATGTGGTAAGTATAGCTGTTATGGTGTTGGTGAAATGAATTGTGTCTGGAAACTTTCAGACCAACCCTTGACCAACCATTTATTCCCCCTCCCAGATTTACTTGCATGTGAGTGCTCCCTATCGATACTAGGCTGGGACCTGATCATGCCTTCCGATCAATGCATTGGTGGGGTCCCGATCCCGACCTGTTAATCCGCTCCCTCTCGCGAAAGGGAAGTGAGTTTCCCTAATGTCATGCTTGGGGACCATGGCACCTCGGGGAGAAAAAAATAAGGATATAAATGGAAGGGGATGCAGAATCCAGTATGCATGATGTGTACGGAGAAGTCCGTCGTATGGATGGGGAGGGGTCCGCAAGACGTGCAATACACCTAATTTCTCCTTTCATGTCCATTAGGAGATTCAAAAATTTTCAAAGCTCCGAAGTCGGTAATCTCAAAACCTCATTTTCTCCGTTCACAAATTACGTAACGTGATTTTAAAACTTTTTTTTACTCCCCCCACCTCCCCCCTGTCCTGTAACACTCCGTAACAAAAGCTTCGACCCCCCCTCCCAAAAAAAAATTAAGTGACAAAATATGACCCCTCCCCCCTCCTTCAGAATTTTTAAAATTATTATAAGATAAATAAACAAGTAAAATGCATTTAAAAAAGAAACTGATTTATTAAAAACTCATAACTAACACTGGATTACACACATTGAGAGATTGTTAAAATGTTTTTAAAAAAAGGAAAGGATTTTTCCTTCCATTTGGTTCCTTCTTCAAGGAAATAATTATCCTTTGTCAATGTTAATTTTGATTGACGGTGATCACCCATTTGAGATTTAAAAAAAGAGTAAAAGGGGAAATGTAGGGTAGAATGGTGGAAATAGAGATTGCGATGCCGAGAGAGAGAGAGACGAACGAGGGCAACGTCCAAAGGCTAACTGAGCCTGTTTAGCCTGTCTGGGCAGGTCCAGGCATGACTTAGTGGAGTGGGCATTGGAAGCGTGGGAATGTCTGTTGACTTCCCTCTCTCCTGTTGCAAAACTCGCTGTTAGTAAGAGTGGTGGATGCGGGTGTGTAGTAGGGTTGGCTCTGTGTCGTGTGTGTGATTTGTTACTAAACAATTACCCTTCTAATAAGAAATTCGGTCGCATAATTTATATTTTTTAATGAAAAAACCTGTTACGTCACATTCGTGCAACCCTCCCTCCCCCTCGTAACGAATCGTAACACTTTGACTTATCTCCTCCCCTTTGCGTTACCTATGTTGTGAACGGCCCCAAACCTTCGATAATAAATTAGACAGGAAGTAGCGTTGGGGAAAGGGAAGAAGAATGGTGCCCATGAAGCAGAGGTATGTGGCAGGTCTTTTTTTCATTTTGAAGGACTTCTTTTACTTCGATCATTTAATACAAGAGATTCCCCTTCAACCGTTGAAACGAAGAATCCAGGGAACCAGTTGGCCTTCTCTCTCTTCTAGCTTTTTTTCTTTTGGACTGCTATCTCCTACCTTCACCCCCTCCTCCTCGGATTTATTACTATATTAGTGGGCGCATTCAGTTGTGACCCGAGTCATGACTCGAGGATCTCAGTTCAACGCTTTCATTGAGGCTTCAAAATAAATTTTACTCCATGGTGACACCTCTTGTCAATGTCATCAATCCTGGGAATATTAGTTTTTGAAAAGCGCAGCACCTGCCGAGAATCATGAACATCGAGTCATGACCCGGGTCACAACGGAATGCGCCCACTATTGCTCTACATTCGCACTAACCCACTTCTTACTTCACCACTAATTTCGTCTTTTTTTTTACTTACTCGGCTAGTGCGGTAACGCAGTCCTTGATTTTTCAGTTGTTCTTGATTCAAGATTTTTCCATTCCCTTGTTGTTTACCTTTCGTGCTACCCAACTGTCGCCGTAGGGATTCGTAAATGGGTTCCATCTACGTTCCATCTCCATGCAGACGGCAATATGTTATTAGTCATTCTAACCAAACGGGCAGTTAGAATTACCATTACACAATGACATACATATGTGAGGCTCATTTTAAGAAGAGAAATCTTTGGCACCTATTGGCGTAAAATTTTCCGGTGAACTGTCTGTAAAGAACTTTTAATTTACAAAAATTAGTTTTACAATTCCAAATTTACAAACGAACCAGACTGTTTATAATGCTAACAACTATTAGAAGTCACTTACCAGCACCTTTGTTCAGAGTCACTTTAATTCTCTCACCACGAAGTGGTTATTTTATTTTAAAAACACCAACTGCCAGGAAATTGACCACCTCAAAACATCTGTGTGCGTTATGAAGTTTCTCAAACTTCAAGTAAATACTCCCTTAATTGGGGAGGAGGGAACCCAGAAATGTAAATGTTTTAATGCCATATGGACACCTGATATGAAAAATATAAAATTTTCATATTAACTGTAAATTCATTTTTCGATTTTTGGCCAGGTTTTTACGACTTCTGAACTACTGTGCATTGAGCAGACTTCCGGAAATAGTACTATTTTCTTGTACACTTTCTCGTCTGGGCCTGGAGTTTGACTGCGACCGCATTTGCCATCGGGGTTTTCATGCGAATATGATACAAATAATATCAGGCAGCTTCATACTATTTGCACCTTCAATCCTAAAGGATCAGTCCATGAAGGCACATTTCGAACATTTCGTTTTGTTTCTTTCTCTATTCTCTCTTCATCATGTTAACTTTTCTTGTGAGCCTTTTTGTGCACATGAAGCATGACTGGTTTTGGGCAGCACTAGTATTGCCTTGTCATTGTGACATCTATGAAAATGAATGTCATTCCAGCTCTCACATCGGGTGCTTCTATAAATGTCATATCTCGAAATGGTCGCACCTTCGGCGCTGGACGAGCTATGAAACTCACTAATCCATTTGAAACATCCGATTTCGATGTTCATACCTACCAATGGGGTAAAACTTATAGGTATTTTTCATAGCGACAAGTTACTTCTGATTGTGTGATGTTATTGCCAGCCTGATGATAGGAAACATTAAACAAACGAAGATTCTTAGTTTCCCCCAAAGGTTCCTCTCGGAATTTTTCTATCATCCAGTGCCTTTTATAACGCAATGTAAGAATCGTTTTCCTTAACCCCATGGGTCATGGGTTTGCAGTGTAATTACCTCTCATAGCATGTAACATGGCCTAGGAAAGGCAGTTTCACTCTGAGACCACAATGGTCGCTTGATTGGTGCTCTTATCTGGCAGCAGAACCCAGAACAGTTTGGATTTGACGTTACGGCAGACTACAGCAATAAAAGACATGATTAGCAAATAATTTTCAGCCATTTGTGGCTCCAAAGCTTAAGCGAATAATTATAAGGTTACCTATTCCCCCGCCTCAAAAAAGGGCTCAAGGGTACCGTTCCCAATCTTAAAATATCCTTAGACTCAACATTCCGAAAACTACATTCACAAAATTTTACGTTTCCGTTTGCTCGTTTCACTGCAGCGGAAAAACATCGGACATCACAGACCTGCAAGAAAATATTCCCCATGGGACGTACCCTAATGTAAAATGTTTCCTAAAATGATCGGCCTGATACTACTGTACCATGTTTCACCTTTCTACAGCTGTTTGTTACACTGGAAAAAAAAAATAAAAAGAATTATGGGAATATGTCTCCCAAGAATTATGCCCCCCAAGGAATGTGGGAAAAAATAATGATTTTCCTGAAATCTGCATCTCAACTGGTACCTATGCACCAAGTTTCAACTTTCTATGTCTCTCGTTTCGTTAGAGCGGACAAATTTCTGGAAATAGGTCTCCCCCCATAAAAAAAAAAATGTCCTGAGGGGATGTACCTCAAAAATAAAAATTTCCAGTTTCCAAATTTCAGTCCCATTTTGCGGGGTGAAAATTTATTTGGAAAAAACGGCGCACCGAAAAATCGTGCTCTGAAGGGATGTTCCACAAAAGTAGGACTTTTCCCGAACTCAGCAACTCAATAGCTACTTGTGTACCAAGTTTCAGGTTACTACCTTATCTAGAACAAGATTAGAATTAGCGTCAGTCACTCACTCATTCAGTCAGTCACGATCATTGCTTTATATATTTTTACCAGGCAGGGTATTTACGACGGACATTTAAAAAATTTCCGGTCGGAGTCACTTCGGGTTGTATAAAACCATTCTTATTTTTCTTATAGGACAAATGTCTCTGAAGGTGAATGGCAAAATTCCAGCTTGTTTGGTGATTATAGGCAGTTTTTATTATTTCATTTCAGTGAGCTACCAAGGGTACCAGTTGTAGCACACTGAAATAAATTCATAAGATCTGTCTATGATCACCAAATGCGATTAAAATTTTCCATTCCTCTTCAAAGATATGTCTTCCCATGAGAAGGGAGGAAAGATGCATTACTACCAGAAGTACCTCAATCTGAAAACTTCTTGAATGTCACTCATATAACTAAATTGTATACATAAATTGGCATAGTGCATGCATGCTTTGTAGAAGAATGCATATTATATGAATAAAAGTACCTCCCTTCCAACAGTTTCTTTGAATTGCAAATCACACTTTGAATATGAATCTGGATTCTATGACACTATGCCAATAGGCTTTGGGGTGTGGAAATGAAGTGGGAAGAGCAAAATCCAGATGAAAAACAAAACAATGCTAACATTACTGTGGTGAACTATGATTCATTATTTAATCAGAAAGATTCAAAATTGTGAAGAAAAAATGTTATACCTGTCAGCCATGATGTTCCCTCAACCCAGCCATCAGGGGAAACATTGATTGACTCTGGTTTGACATAAACAAAGTCACCTAGAATGAGTTCCAGCTCAGTCACCTCCTGAGGTACCAGAGGAAAAAGGACCTTATGAACCTGGAAAATAAAATAAGGTTTTCTTTCTTCCTGCCACAAACTTCTAATCAAAACAAAGATGAAGAGACAGACTTCATAGCTCCTAATGTGAGCATCTCGAGAATAAAGATGAAACTCCCACTGTGTTGGTGTAGTGTGATCAATCTTCTTGACCAGATTTTCCAGTGTGGCTGTATGGTTGCCAGGGAATTGATATGCAAAGCTCAGGTGAAAAGACTTGGGACTTTCGGGGTCTCCTGAGAAAGCTGCAGATACACAAAAAATTGTTCTTAATGCATTTCCCATTAGGAACATGGTCTCTTTCAGGTGGCATGTACGAATATGCATTGTATTAATCAAAATATGTCACAGACATGCACCAAGCTTTATTCATGAGGAAGATTCCTTAGTAGATGAGTGAATGGAAAGGCAGTAAGCAGCTCACAAGCTCTAGGTTGAGGTAAGTTGTCAGATGCAGAAGTCCCTGATTACTTCATGCAAAACTAGCAAATATCACATATACTAGTATATTTTCATAAACTTTTCTTAGCTTGGAGCAAACACTTAACTATCTTTGAGCTTGGAGTTTGTTCCTCCAGACCTCTTGCAGTCAGAACTTCTCCTTTCTAATGAGAATTTGTCTATCACATTTTTACAGAATGGACATGGAAGTAAGAAAGAAGTTCTGATACAGGATGGCTTTTCCCCCCCCTTTAGTCATCAGTACACCAGAAAAGTGCCCAGTGTGCCCCCAGACTCAGATCACCACTGCCTCTCCCTTCACCTCTCATGTTCCAGGCAATTTATTATGCAATAATACTCAGTCCTGAAAGGGGTACACCCTTTATGGACTAGCTACTAGGTTGTAACAAAATTTTTTGTGCATAAATACAAAATTTATTTCAGCATCATTTTCTAAATAAAATTTTTTTGTTTATATATGTATTTGGTATCATCTTGAAGCGCATTTTATGCCGCATATAAATATATGTTGCTTATCTTTTTTATTGTTGTTTAATTCATTGTTAAATAAATTTTGCATTTATGCACAAAAAATTTTGTTACAACCTAGTATTATTCAAAGGAATCCCTTTGCTTATCTGGAATTCATGGAATGCATACAACAACTCGTAACAGCCAAAATATGCAATGTAATGGTACAGTATTCAAAAACTGCCATTTGAAAGTATAGTAACATTTTCTCACAGTCAACATTTCTGAACTGAAAGCAAATATCAAACAAATTCCTCCATAGTGTATCCTTCCATCTCTGCAAACAATGTTCATGCATGAAATGCTCCATCGTTTTTCAAGAACTCTCCTTGCAATGTACTTAGTCCAGGTTATCTAAGTCCAGTTTTTTACTATCATTATTAAATTCAATTGTGAATTACAGGTGATAGCCATAAGAACTTAAGCTCCTTAAACGATACCTATCACAAAATTGCATGATTGAGTTTGGGCATTTAGAAAGGTTTGATCAAATGGATTACAGAGGAAAGTCTCGAGAAAGGACAGCATAATTTATGCCATCAGTGGCAGCCATGCAGAGATGAAAGATGAAGCTATTGTTGAAAATGAAAATAAACTTATTCCTGTCTGATTCACCATACCATGCATCATTCTCCACCATCTCCCTCCCCACTGTTCCATTCTCATTCAGGATTCAACTGGAACTGAATTATCACACACCAGAAGAGCTTCCCTTTATATCCTCTTATCACCAAACTGGAGTGAGTGGTGAGCTGACTTTCATCTTATATGTCTCACTTCCCTGTTCAGTTTCTGTTCCAAACTTTCATTACTGATTTTCAGGTGTATGATTATTGTTGGTCTCTAGATGATTCTGATCAGCCCATCATAAATTATTGCCAACTGATGCAGGGCACCCTTTTTCAAGTCCATTGAGAATGACAATCCAAGACTAAAAAAAAACTTAACAAAACAGCATCAGACTGCAAAGGGATAACATTTAGGCACTGAATGAGTCATTTCCATTTCTGATTCTCTGAATGAGAAATTTTCAGTCCTACAGAACCAGGATTGAATAGCAACAGCATCTCATTACATATGTACCGCAATGACTGGTCCTGCTTTGATTATTGCTGAGTTATTCTCTGAAAAGAATGCAAGCTATGCAACTGTAACTGATTCCAGCAAAGAGTGTTGCCACTTTACCTGTTAGTTCATCTTCCATCTACTCAATGTTAATATGGCAATAGAGTTTTTGGTATTAAAAAGTGGTGCCTTTAACAATCAATGTCTTTCCCACAAAAATATGAAAATTCATGCAAAATAGATTTCCAGACAATATCCCTGCAAAATCAGGGACAACTGGGGAAGCATAAATGATAACTAAGCAAAAGTTTCAGCAAAAGTTTCTGGAGATACTGGTCAAAAACAGATGCCATTATTGACAGGTTAGAGTGTTATGGATTTTCTCTGAAATTTCAACAAAATTTTCAGACATATTTTTAGTGCAAGTGCAAACCACCTGGGAAAGTATAGTGAACAACACTGCAGAAAACAAAAATTCTGGGTAACATTGCAATCTGAAACATTCTAAACCTGACAGAAGTGTATATTTTGTATGGAACACATCATCTGTGGCATTCAACTCTTTCAGGATCATATGAACTAAGGAATCTGTACCTCAAACTAAGTTCTGAAGCTTGAAAAGCAACTCATGCATGAAAAATATTTTTTATTAAGTGACCAGAAGGCACAATAGTCAAACTACTGGTTACAAAATCATGGGTTTTTTATGATGGGTGTTCAAAATGTGTGCCTGGATCCCTGTTGAAATCTGGTGAGCTATGTCAATGCTATTGTTGAGCTAGATAGACAAATTAATGTTCATGTTCAAAATCCCTGCAATAAGTATATTTATGGCACTCTGAACTAAGCGTTTCATGTTATCTTCCATGCTATGCATTCATGCAAAGCAAGGATCATAATGGCAGGGCAACTGATGACATACAGAAATTCTTGCACTCCTCAATGAATTCCATGGAGATCTGTTTGAGAATTTCAGCCTGCTGTTCATTGACAAATAATCCCATGAAGTTAGATGTAATGTGTGGCTCAAGGATAAGATCCTCTGGAAATTCAGACTGCACTCTCCGAATCACATCATGGAAAGCCTTTATCACCTGTTTCATATTGCAATCTGCAACCTGGCAGAATCACATCAGCAATCAATTGATCCAACAGAAATGAATCATCCTTGGCTAAGTTGTGGAGGATTGTCTTACAGAGAAGTGTGAGCTGAGAGCAATGTGAGGCAAATAATTGTGTGCTCCATTCCATCCACATTGCTCTAAGGACTTCTTAAGGAATATCTGAATTTGGTCCAAAAAGGATCCAGTTGGGCAAAGATACAGGATGTATTCCCGTGGTGTTACTTCATCAAGAGATGGATCATAAGCATGAGCCAAAAGCCAGTCTGATGCCAAATGCACTCCCCTATCTCCAGTTGCTGCCAATGCCTTCTCACTAGAAGATGTAGAGGATCACTTCAAAGAGCACTATCATGGCTTTTGATATTAGCTCAAGAAAAAAGGATGCCATTATTCATGAGCCTGGTTAAAGGTAAACAAGAAAATTCAGTCAAAACTCAAACTAACCTACAGTAAAGTCTGAATGCTTTCTTGCCCCAAACACTTTGCAATTACTGCCCTAAGATTAACCCCATAAAGTACATATGAAATTTTTGTTGAATATCAAATTCAAGTACTCAATCTGGATTCAAAATAACATTATGTTGTAGGCCTTTACTCTGAAATAATAACAAAATGTAAACAAGATTAAAACAACTGTGTGGCATTAAAACATGTACCTTGTTCTGCCTTCAGGTTTCTCTATGAACTATTGAGTGGTATTTCCAAAATGAAGGGAAATAATGTTAGGTTACAATAGCCATCGAGGCAGTCAGAGCATTCAAATAAAATATTCAGAAGAGGTATGCTCAGTTCATCCCTTTAGTCCAGAGGTGCCCAACCTGCGGCCCATGGGCAAAAACTGACCCACAAGGCCTTAACCCACGATGAATGCCCTCAAGTTTCTTTAAGGTAATTCCTACAATACTAGCAACTGCATATGGCCCATGATGGCTGTGGGAGTGAACTTGTGGCCCTGAGCTGAAAAGGTTGGGCACCACTGCTTTAGTCCTTCCACCTATGCCAAAACCTGTCAAATAATGTGATATCCAACATCTTAGTCTACAGGGCTATGCCAATTTATCTTTCTAAATGCTTCGGGGCACACTGTTCCGAAGTTCGCAAAAACATGAGTAAAAATTACTATTTAGGCCAGTATGCATCAGCTTACGCTCTGTTCTTGGGGAAGCCCATTTGAAGGAGGAGTTGAGTTGCAGTGATGATTTCCAGAGAGACTTTCGGCCTAGTCGATGTAGAGATCTTCCTAGGAGGGGTTATGGCGGCCATACCTCCAGTCGCGGCCTCCTGCACATCAGAGCTTGAACACAATAAAACGCAACGTAACGTTGATTAGCCTGTCTTGCTGTTAGCTTGCACCTCACGTAGACGGGGCAGCTCACTGATATGGGTACTAATCATGGTCTTATCTGCCCGTTCATCAAACATATAGCAGGTCTTAAAAAACTGCAAAGCTGTCTCAGAGACAACCTCCAGCAAGAGTTCAGGGTTGGATCCCAATTTCTTATTTCGCGCAAATGGGAGGGAAGTGGGCGGAGCCTTCCCACATTGGCTGCACAGCAAGGAAGGTAGTGCAGCATGACTTCCATCGGGAAGCTGGTGATTCATGTGCTCCCTCCTCTCCCAACAGCTCTAGTACAATTTCCCACTCCTTCTATTGCCAGGATACTCTTTATTTCGCCTATATATGACACGTGGGTGTTCATTTCTGAACCGTGCATTCGTTTGGCGACACAATGTGCTCCGTTGAACAAATTTCCCCAAATAATTTAGAGGGATTCTGTCCACTCTTTTCTTTCCTGGATGTGCCAAGAAAAGTAGAATCAGCTCAAATGAACTGATACTTTTATACTGAAGCACATTCTATGCCCACAGACGGAAAGAATTTCTTCAGCCATCGATTCACAGACTACTCGGAGGCTTGACCATAATCGGAGAACTTTGAAACTTCGAGCAGAAACCTACTAGTCACGTGGCAGCATAAGCGGCGATTGTTTTTAGAAATTTGGGGAGTTCAGAGACAGTACTTCACGTATTCCTTATTATACTGCCAATTTTTTTTTTTGGGGGGGGTGGGGGAGCTCGAGCCCCCTGAGCCCCTAGGAATCGCCGCCTATGCCTGGCAGTCTTCTGCTGGAGTACTCCACGTTCCATAAACGCGAAGTTCGACTTCCCTTGCACAATACATTCAAGTGTTTCATGGCGAGAAGACGTTAAAAGTTTTTCATGAGATCATGGATTTCGTTTCGTTGTTCTTGAAGTACGGCTTGGAATACGGAGATTAAATATGCTGCTGATGTTATGATGCAAAGTTGCCGAAATGAACTTTTCATATCGAATTGCGAACTCGGTTGACTGAAATAATTAAATGTAAAAAAAGCTGCGGAAATGAGAGTTTATGATAGTACTAAATCTATTGAGAAAATCGAATTTCAGAAGCACTTGACGAAGCAGCCTCTATCAGACCTGACTGTACGGCATTCCATGAGTATTATGTTCATGCTGAATCTGTCTAAGCCCACTTGGAACCCCTCTATTTCCCTTTGCCAAACTCTTCTGTGCGAGTAATGTGGTTGCGCGTCGAATGTGTGTCTCTGACGAGTGGAAGCAGATGAGTGATGAGTGGAGTCAGATATGAGGCATGGAAGCAGATGGAAGCTATTCCATTGCCCTGTGTAAAGGGCTTATGAACCACGCACAGCCTTAACCCAGATACGAAATCAAATGGGAAAATGCATGAAGAGGGCAGAGGAAAGGAGAAAGGAGATAATGGTATTGGATTGAAAAACTTCTGACTGTTCTCACAGTTGAACCGTCTTATCACAAAACCGACACCAGCTCCTTAGAGAACCTACTGTAACGAAGAAGCGACCGTGGAAGATCATCCAGCCCAGGATCCAGCCTACTTCCAGGAACAATCGAAGGACATACCCGTCTGATGTGATGTTGGGACGCCTTATTTATACACACCGTAGCTCGGGCTTGGGTGATAGGACGCTTTCCCCCCTTCGGATAATAAACACACTATGACGGGTTCCATGAGAAGCTGCTATCCTCCACATGGGCTCTGTTGACTTCAAAGTGTTGCACACACATACGTTCTTATCAATGACCCGTTAACGCCATATATGTCCACGGAGTATCGAAATCCTCCGTGAAACGTAGGAGAGGGATCCCCTCCTGCACCTTCTTTGAGCTCGTGGATGAAACAGACAGTGCAGCTTCATCGCGACACCCAGGGCGATAGTAACTGGATCGTGAGTTTATTTCCACCCGACCGGAAACATCTCGAGTGTCATGTCAGCACTGTTTCGTAACAGAGACTCGTTTCTCCGCTTGCGTGCTGTAGGTGGCAGAACGAATGAATGCTACAAGTTGGGCCGACTGCTGGAGACGTGAAGCCGCTGTCGCTGCCTATCGTACGTGTTTGCTTCGAGAACCATATCGATTACTTCATCCCAATTTTCGGAGATTTGACTATCGATGTCGTTCTCATGTCGCTTCTCCCAGCCTGGATAGGTGGGACGGAGTCGTGTTCAATGCGTGACATAACAAAAGAAGAATCCCGATGCTCTCTTGCCATCATGCGGTCATACCTGTACTTCTTTTATCTCGCAGACCTTCGAGATGTTTTGATGAGAGATATGATCTTGCTCTTCATTGTCTCTCCTGAAATGGCAGGGACTGTCTCCCAAATGTGTGCATCGATCGATCAACAGCCTATCCTGGTCACATTTGAAGAGGAAACAGGATTCAAGACCATCCGAACTCTTTTCACTGATGCAAGTACGCATTGGGAATGTTTCCATGAGGAGACAGTTTTCATCTGCATAACCCTATGGTTTCATGCTTTCATGTTTCTTACCTTTCATAACTATTCTGCGCATGTAATTTTGCAAACATCATGATGTTTTCATCAACGTGACCCACATCTACCCATTAACCCCGAAATTCACGACACCTACGTGGGATGACGTCACTTGCATTGGACCTAGAATTGTTATGCTCCTCTCCTCCTTTCTACGTCATTACATTTTCGAGGTCAGCAAGGTTGAAATTCAGTGCGGACGACTTCACTTTTTTTGTTTTTGTCAATATTCGTACCAAACGTTAAGCATCAGACTGCAGATAACGGCCAACCTTTGTTCGATTCCCCCCCCCCCCCCCATCCCCTTTCCAAGGAGAAGTAAGGGAAATTCAAGCCCCCCCCCCATTGGCGAAATCCTGGCTACGTCACTGGAGGATACTTTAGAGTAGATGCGGAGTGCAACGGAAGAGGATCCGTCTTGGGGATTGCATTACACCCTCTACATGCCAAGACAAACTAAAACTAATGAGAAATTCAAGCAGACCTCGCGTGGGCTGCAATAGTGATTTCGGGCGGGAAGTCAAGAAAATAAAATGGGATTGTGAGGCTCATACCAAACTAGATATTATTAATGCGCTATTCCTGCCCTGTTTCGCCCCTCTTCATGCAATTGCGGTCATACAAGGCCGTTATTCAATGATTTCTCTGGTGAGAAGGCAGTTGCAAAAAAAAAAGTGTAATATTTGTGGACTGAAATAAAGATTCATGGATAACTCTCCCATGATTATTGGCAAACGCTGCTACTCCACACCTCAATGGACATCGGACAAGGGTTTGACCGAATGGAAATCTTGGAAAGGATTTCCCAAGTTTGTCATTTAAGTCGCGGCTCGATTCCGGGGAAACCACTGATATGGTACATCGGAAGCTGGAGAGCAAGCGAAAGATAAAGGTAAAAGCGAAAAGGGAGGGAGTGGGTTGAAGAAGTTCCTCGCAGAAGAAAGACGATTGCCAAGCAGCACCCGAAGACCGTGTCTGCATGCATCGGGGATTTTCTAGTCACTTGAGCTGGAGGCCACACCGACTCAAGGCCGTGCAGGTACCTCGAGGGGCACTTTGTCGCAAATCAAGCATGTAAACTTACACATCATGGACTAAATGATAATTTTCTGTTTTCGAAGTCGTTCCGAAAGGTCACATTTAAATTAAAGCCATATATTTTTACTTATTCAAGGAATTTCCGTGGTGCGTAATATTAAAAAAAGCTAGAAGACAGGATAAGCAGCCTGCTCTGGTGCATACTTCTACATCCTTTGGATAACCCGTCCACAGATAGGAATATTGACTCACTCTACATATCCAGAATGGATTTCTTGCAGGCGATATCCTTGTTCCGGAAGTGGATATGAATCCGGAGGATGTGGCCGTGATATATTTTTCCAGCGGGGAAACCAAAGCGGTCCATCTCGAGGTCTTTCATTCGTCGTAGCCACTGATTCCATCTTGTGACGAAAATTTTCGATTCGGTCGTGATGGAGTTCTCAATGTCTGTACGTTTTGAATGGCGACCTCTGGAGGCAATGAGGTGCAGGACGAAAGTTCGTGGATCGTGGGAGCATTCATGAATCTTTGTCTGGCTGCCGGCATCGCGTTCATGCTGTTTTCTCACCAGTTCATCTTCTCAAGATACCACTGCGATCTGCTTTTTCCAGTTGTCGAAAATTAAAAGGTATACTGTGCTACGAGGAACCTTCAGGGGATTGCATAGGATGAATAGTGTATAAAAACGCATACTCGCTCGTCACTCTTCATACATCATGTAAGCCACCTGGTCATACCTAATGACCTGGTCATGGCCTAGTACGGTCATTCACATCTGCAAAAACGCCGACGCTGAAAAACACGACATTCGAAGCCTCGAAGTGCTCATCGTCAGCGGAGCACCTTTATCGAGCAGCGTGGAAAAGGTCATTCGGACTCGCCTCCGTCATCGAATTCAATCAGGTAGAATTCCTCGACGCCTCTCTCACACGCTCTGAGACGAATTCGTACAGCAGAGACGGCTTTCAGTGTTTCGGGAGCACTGAGATGCATTGGGTGACGATCGGTGGGAAGGGTCGGCCGGAGTGCCGTAGCTCTCAGTCGTCGGAATAGTGAACTTTGCAGTTCTCTAGAAGGACCCATCAATTTTCTGCCCTCTGTTCCTGATGTCGACAGCCGTGCGAAATTCCTTAGGCTAAGGATTTGAAATCTGGAGAGAGCCTGAAACCAGGGAAACGCGGGGAGCTTCGTTTCAAGTCTCCGTGGATCATGAAGGGATATCGAGGATTTCCGAAGGCAAGCCTCCACATTTCCACGGTTTTGTATGCAAACTTCGATACTCTGCACTGGCAGATCCAGGGAAGGTTTGCGGGAAGCAACAGAGACTCCAGAAAATTTTCCCACTTCACTGCATTTTTAAAATAAATCTTGATGCGATTGTGATTTTTAGCTATATTCCTTTCCCATTGTCGCACACTAATTAATTTTGGGGGATCAGGCGTGCATTTCGAACTTCGTGCCTCACCTCATCGCGTTACTCTATGTCTCTTAACGGTTGATCGCCTTTCCCTCAGAATGAAACAATGGGATCTTGACCGTTACCAATCGAGGTAAGGTTTTTCCGAAAGAAGGGCGATCGTCAGATACCTCTTTTTCAGCCGAAGTCCGAGGAAGATGAGATTCTCTGATTTGAACGTATCGCAAGCGTCTTGGTACTAATTGGCATGCCATTCTCAGAAAAGGGTGAAAAGAAATATAAGACATGTGCCAAATAAGGATAATAACGGAACTACAAGTATCGGTTGATCAGCATAACTTAACCTGAATCAGCAACAATTGGATGAAGCACGACAGGTCGTCTTGAAAGCAACATTAGGGTCGGTCATTAAAGTCTTGCCTCATTAGAGAAATACGAGAATACTTGGAGATCCAGGTTTTTCCACAAAGCCATCAGTAACGGAAAAATGAATCAAAACGACACCCGGGACATGGCATCCGGCACTCGGGAAAGCGGGTTGCTATCGTCGTGCTTTATTCTATTAGTCCTGATCCGAACCTATTCCAGGGCAGCAGGGAAACCTCGGTTGAGGGAGCGCCAAACTTTGAAAATTGAGGAAAAACAAGATCTAAGAGTAAGATCATCGTGAGTTGCCGCCCCCCTCCCCCTCCTCCACCACTCCCTCGTGAGATTGTGACAAGGTGGTGCGTGTTTTGCCTCGGGGGTCGCATGAAACTGGCCCTGGATTTGTAGTTGAGCTCGCACACCCCCTGGGAGGAGGATTAGCTCGAGGGGGGCATTCCTCCGGTCGCTTGAGCAACATGGGGTGATGACTCCAGATAGGTCTAATGGCGACTATGCCGAGCTTAGTCATCTGTCCAGGCGACACATACATGTAAGGTGAGCCTGCACATTCTTAAGAGTGCATTGCGAGTCTCTTAGGAAGGGGATGAATACGTACAGGTGAGTATGCACCTCCAAGTGCATGCACATCGATGCACATTCATTTTCACAAGGCAGTTTCCACGTTTTGAAGCCCTATCTCATCTCTAATATAGGTTTTCCGGACGAATTAGGGAAGAAGTCATTTCAAATTCGGCAGTGCTCCTCTTTCCTCTCGGTTTTCCGGTCCGATTTCGGCATCCCCCGTTTCAATTCTGGCAGCGCAAGGGAATCTCCTTTTTCTGGTGAATGAGCATGAGTACGCAGAGAAGGAAAGGAAAGATTCGATGTTCCACATATGAGTTGCTTTCTGAGAACAAAACGCATGATCTACAGCAGGGGTGTCAAACTCGAATAAGCTGGGAGCCAGATGGAACCCTTCAGGGGTGATTGGGGGCCACATTAACAAATCTTAAGCTAAATTATTAATGCGAACTGGTTGAAATCTCAGAGCTTTTTGAAAACCATCTTGTGAAATGGACTTCGCGGGCCGGACAAAATGAACTAACGAACCGGATCCGGCCCGCAGACCGCCGGTTTGACCTCCCTGATCTGCAGAAAACGTGGTCTGGTGTTCAACATAAACGCATAGGATATTTTTGACGAATAATCATTATCTTATTAATCAAAGAAATGTGCATGGACATTGAAGCAATTCTTGTATCGATGCGTTCTTTCCTTTGGCACCTTATCAAATCATGGCGAAACCACATAAAGGATTTCTGATGGTTTATGTGCTCGACTGCAGCCTCTCCTATCGTGAGCAGCTTCTCTGTCCTACTTTGCTGAAAGCTTTGTCCTGATCTTCATCGTGCAACTTCTGTCTCAGTTTCAGAAGGTGCAGCTCACGTTTGACTTGCTTTGAATGCAGGATGAGTCCGTTCCGTTGGATTCAATAAAGTAGAATATGC